GGTTAGCCCTGTCACCTTAATAAATAATATTAAAAAAAACACAGTATGAACAGAAAACAGGTGAAAACTCCATCTGTAAAATAAGAACTCACCATCACTTTAATGCAGGGGTGTCCAAATTTGATCCTGGAGGGCAAGTGTGCTGATGAGTTTAGCTTCAAAACACCTGCAGGAAGTTTACAGTATGGTTGCGTCCGAAACCACATACTTCCATAATATACAGTACGCTAAAATCAGTATGCGAGCCGAGCAGTACGTTTAATACACATGCAGTACTTACTGAGTAGTAAGCGGCTTCGGACGCAGCCATATCTAGAAAGAGCTTGATCAGCTGCTTCAGGTGTGTTTGATTAGGGTTGGAGCTAATCTCTCCAGGACACCGGTCCTCCAGAGTTTGGACACCCCCGCTTTAATGGGTCTATAAAACCCTTAAAAATGAGAACATGCTCTTCTCTCTCTTATTAACGACACATTTCACAGCTTTTTTGTATGAAATTGTGTTCTTCAAATGGCGTTTAATGGGAATCGTCATCTCTGAAAGGTCATGAGAAAGGAGGATCAGCTCATTAGCACTGAATCTGTCCTGCAGACACAGAGAATCAACCCATGCTGCAATTATTTCAGTATTATACAGTATTATTATACAGTAAAATATTAAATATTATTGCACTTTCAAAAGACTGCTGCCTTTGTGAATAAACTGTCGAATTTAATTTATTTTTGGGATTTACTGCAGAATTTTTACCTGTTTTCAGAGATTTTTTAATTATTTTAATTTGATGATAAAGAAATTAATTAATTTATTTGGCTTCAGCTTAGTCCCTTTATTCATCAGGGCTCGCCACAGTGGAATGAACCGCCAACTATTCCAGCATATGTTTTACACAGAGAATGCCCTACTGGGAAACACACTCATTCACACACACACTCATACACTACGGTCAGTTTAGTTGATCAATTCCCCTATAGCGCATGTGTTTGGACTGTGGGGGAAACCGGAGCACCTGGAGGAAACCCAAGAAGAACATGCAAACTCCACACAGGAACACCAACTGGCCCAATTTATATATATATATATATATAAATATATATATATATATATATTAGGATTCTTAGGATTAAAAACAAACATACATTGTCTTTAATGTTAAACATGTCACTTTTGATCAATGTAATGCTTTTTTTATATGCGCTTGTGTGCGTAAAAATTATCATTCATTAACAGATAGCAAATTTAAAATTATTTATAATGAAACTGTATTTTAATATTAGAAATAGTTATGATGTGAAATATAAATTCTCTGAACTAATAAGCAGATTTGTATTCTTTTGTCAGTTTATATGAATTAACAGTGGCCTCCAGTATTTAAATATCACATCATGATCATCAACAGCTTTGTCCTTATTAAAGATATGATATAATATATTTTTACTACTTAGTCATTTTATTTGCAGACAGGATAATTTGTTTTTTAATAATTTTTTAAATATCAAATATCCTTGCCGTCTGAGTGTGTGTGTGTGTGTGTGTGTGTGTGTGTATTTTAAGTAAGTGTTTTTTTATCACTTTTATTTAATTTAATATGCAATTTTTACTATTTAGTGTAATATCTAATTTTAACAACACAGACTGAAACAAAAAACAAACAAAAAAAAGAAATTAAAAATAATTAAAGATATTTCAGGTCACATTTATATTATACTGTATATGTTATATGCAATATATTGCACTCAATGCAACAATATTACCCAGTACTGCAATAAATACATCATACAGTTATAACATACATACACACATCTCAGTGCACGGAATTATGAAGTACGTAATTTTGCATTAGAAGTACTAGTTTAGAAGAGGATATATATATATATATATATATATATATATATATATAGTATGGACTGTGTCTCCACTATTTACCTTATATATGATATATACGAGGGCGTCACAGTGGCATGTTCACGGTTGCACAATTGTCACACATCAGAAAGGTCACTGGTTCGAGTCCTGGCTGGGTCAGTTGGTGTTTCTGTGTGCAGTTTGCATGTTCTCCCTGTGTTGGCGTGAGTTTCCTATAAGCTAAAAATTGTCTATAGTGTGTGTGTGTGTGTGAATTAGAGTGTATGGGTGTTTCCCAGTGATGGGTTACAGCTGGAAGGGCAACCGCTGCGTAAAATATATGCTGGAAATTAGTTGGCGATTCATTCCGCAGAGACGACCCCTGATTAATGAAGGGATTAAGCCGAAAAGAAAATGAATGAATGATATACGTTCATGATACAATAAAAAAAAAATTCTATATTATATTATATAATAAAATCTCATTTATCTCTGTGTACAACCATGTTACATGAAAAAAATGTAATATAAAACGTGTTTATTTCTATATAACAAAAATATCACTCACGACCTGTACAAAATCGTCATAGACGCGTCATGGACTCCAGTTCCCAGAACACACCGGGGTGTCGCTCGCTTCCGTAACTGCCGCCGCTGCTGCTGATGCTGATGATGCTGCTGGTCTGGGTTGTTGTCGCTGCAGTACCGCTGGAGGTGTGATGGGTCATCTGAAGTCATGTTTCCCGGTGTCCTGTACGCGCTGCTGGCCGGTTTTCTCGGCGCCGTTGCCTCCTCGTCCGCCAAACTGTCTCTGGGCACCGACTATCTGAAGGGCGTATGTGAGACGGGCATGCGCACGTGGGGCGAGCAGAGGAAATTCACGCAACACAGCGACACGAGCGCGTGCGACTGGGTGAGTGACAGACATAATAAAACATCACAAACAACATTAATGATGCTACTGTTAATAACGCTTGTCGATAACACTGAAAGTACTGGTGATGATGATGGTGCGTGACACTCAGACGCGCATGACCTTCAGTGCGCGTGCACTGTCTGTAAGATGTGTTTTTATGAAAATATTAAAAAAACGCAAAAATAGGGTCATATATAGTGCTCACTTATGCACTTGTGTTACCTCAAATGTTTAAAAGAATGTTCAAATTTAGAGAAATAATCAATTTTAACTAGTGATGCAGAGCGTGTGCGGTGTATTCATGCTAATGACGTCACACATCCGCGAAGTTTTAGGCTGCGTCTCAAATCGCGTACTTCCCTACTGTATAGTATGTTAAAAACAGCCTGTGTGCTGAGTAATATGTCTGAATCCATAGGCAGCACCCAAAATCACGTACTACAATACTTTATTGTACATTAAAATAGTATGCGAGCGAATAGTATGTCCGAATTTATAGCCTGCATCCGAAATCGCGTACTTCCATAAATATTATGGTAGTATAAATATGTAAATGTTATAGTAGTATGTCCCAATTCCATTCATACTAACATTCATACTATACGGAACGCACTTTTCTGACAGTTATGTAGTAAATTGGAACCCAAATCTGGTACATACTTGAACAGTTGGCGATTTTGGACGCAGCCATAAAGTCTGCATGAGCCGGAAGTTTCTTAGACTCTTATTTTGTCATGTTGATGTAGTTCCAACTGAAACAAAATATTAAGTAAGAGGGCGTGGCTTTCTTTTTGCGCATAATCTCCTTGTAACAAACTAACGATAAGGTAAACATTAGAATTTATAGCAATTATTCGTTTTTAATTAATGTCTAATTATTTGGTTTAATCCCGCCCATTTTCAGCAGTGCTGCGCGACAGAATTTTGCATGCTCAAACTCTAGTGTGACGGCGGCTTTAGTTTGATATGCGGGTATGATCTTCAAAGGAAAGCCCCGCCCCCTTTCAGTCAGAAGTATATCAACATGCTGAAATAAGTGTCAACAACTTCCGGTTCACATGGGTGTATATTGTGGTGTAATAACAGCTGTGTGTGTGTGTGTGTTTGTGTGTTCAGCTGCACATCCCTCTGCGTCTGCTGTGCGGCGGGCTGCTGTTCACCTGTAACGCCGTCATGTGGACGTTTCTGGCCAAAGCGCTGCGGAGCTCATGTTCGTCCGCTCGCACCACTGTGACCACCACCGCATCCAACCTCATCTCCTCCGTGAGTAGCAGCACTACATCCATAGAGGATCCATAGCACTACACACTCACACACACATAATTTTATATATATATATATATATATATATATATATATATATATATATAT